CCTCCTGCCAATACGCTTTTTCCAACCGCATAAGCATGATACATAATGATTCAAATTAGGAAAGTCAGTTCACTGTTTCTGGATCGCATTGATTTCGCCGGTCGTACGAATTACTGTTTGCAGGAGCCGCTCGCGCTGTTCATCCGGAGTACCTTCAGCATTAATCTCATTGGTGATTGTTAACTTTTTAGCTTCCAGCTCTGTCAAACGTTCATGAAGCATCACTGCAATGCTAACTCTTGAGATAGGTTATAGCAACAAAGTGTTTGAATGATAAGAGTCCCGTTCTCCCCCTTCCCCTACTTTTTTTTCAGAATCAAAGTCATACTGGCTTGCTGTTTTAGTGGCGACCTGGCAAGATCGTCCTCCAGCTCTCCCTTCTTCCTGTTCAACTCATTAAGCTGGTCTTGCTTTAGCCGATACTCCTCCAGAAGCTCTTCGTTTTCCCTATTCATTTCCTCATAAGATTCACGAACTGATGGGTCCTGCAATAATTTGGTACTCTAGCTGACATTGAGTTCTGAGCGGCAATTACTAGTGTATATCCAAAATTCAAATCAACAGCGGTGCGCAGTAGAGTAGCCGGTGTAATGATACATTTTGTGTAGTTCTACCCAGTGGGCACTTGCTGTCGAGCCTTTACACTTGATGCACAAAAAATGGTCGAAATGTTGTTTGGTTACCAAATTATGAAATTTCCTACCGAAAATTCCAAGTACCCTTACGTAAAACATAAGCATTTGTGAGAGCAGGATTTGAGTTTGTAAGATCACACACCAATTTCTGGATTTCTTTCCTGTCTGTTTTTTAAACTAAAAATTTTACGCACAAAATTCCACTTGCTTGTATCCTAAAAATAAGCGTACATGAAGGCTGAATTTCCAGTTTCAGGGTTGTGCCTCGCACACATCCCTTCACAAACCTTACTTGCTTTTATGTACACACTACAGGGTAGGATGTTATATCTAGAAAGTCTCAATGGATCCTGGTCATATAGTTTAAAATGCCTTGAATCTTCACAAAATTCTCGAAAAAAATTTTGTTTTCCCTCCACAGTAAAAAAGGGGAAGCTTCGCTTTCGCGGGAAGGACGCCCAGTGCAAATAATCAAAATTATGAAATGAATTAGGCGGTTTTCTTGAAAAATGAACTATGAGAACATTCGTAAGGTGATTATGGAACTTCATTTGAGGTCCGTTTACTCATACTTTTATATTGCAGAAAAGTAACCATAGATTGGACTGCAGCAAGATTTCGAGCTTTCTCTTCCTCAATTTCTTTCTCCAACTCTCGGATTGCCTCTTCCTTTGCATGTCGTTCCTCGAGAAGCTCATTATAGCTCTCTTCTGCTGCTGTGTTTTGCTGACGCAACTCATTCACTTCATCCTCAATTTCACGCAGTTCCGAATTCGTATTCATCATATCCACTACCTGTTATTAGAGAGACAGTGCATATGTATCACCTTGACACTATCAAGAATAGGCGGTGGGAAGATGAAAGAAAAATGATGAGACTCTGAAAAACATAAGTCACTTCTACTTAGTGCTGAGAATTCGTCTTATCCTGATTATTGCTTTTGTTAACAGTGGACCTACAAAATGAAAAGTGCCGAGCAATTTCCTTCCGTCGGACTTGATGAGGCCAACCGATTCATCTGCATAAGAGGAAAAATGTGCAACAGCTCATTAAATAAGATTCTGATGAAACTTCTGAGAAGTTAGGCAGAAGAAGAAAATTTAGAAAACTTTAGTAAAGTTTAATTGCAAAGAAATGAGTACAAAAAGCGTTGGTAAAGGCCAGTTTTAAGTAGACTAACTCAAAAGTTGCAGAGCACGCCAGAACTTAAGTGAACCGCATGCGCCAAAACCAATGATTGCCTTTGTCAGCTGCAAGCTCAATAAAAAAGAGTTAAAAATATCTCTAACTGACCTTATTGCAATCGAGCAATCGCCCTTGAAGTGTTTTGATTTTGTTCGCCTCTTCTTCTGCTCTAAATTCGTTGATCTTGGTAAAAATGATACTAACTGGCATCGCCGCGTTTGATATGTAGGAGTATCTGTAGTATAGGATTTCCCGACCAACTCCAGGCTGTTTTTGTTTTCATGGAAATATTAAACTGCACCAAATTAATGCTAGAAAACAAGGCTGTGATTTGCTGTTGGCACTTTTAAAAGAGATGAAAAATTTGAAAAATTCTCTCACCCTACCCCGGAGAAGAAAATCGTGTTACTTTGTTGCAGTGAGGGTTGTACAAAAGTGACATGTAAAGGCTTCCA